GTAGGCCGTAGTGCCGCTGTCGGGGCAAAATCTACCCTCATAGCACACTGTATGGCGTATGACACTGTATGGCGTATGCCCGTCTCTATTAGCCCATTTCGGAGCAGAACAGTAGGACGTTAAACCCCATTTCATTTCATTTCGGTTGTTCTAATTCATTCAATATCTCAGTCATCCGATGGTCTAGATAGTTCATTGTGGGCTTGTCACGATAACAAATAATCTAAATAACAATTCATAACACTAAAGGCCAGATTTAGCTCGTGCATAATGTATGTTTAAGAAAAAGAAACATAGTGATTTTCGTGACTGATTTCATTATTATTACAAAGTGTATAGATTCTATTTGTAACTAAGCCAATATTGTCGTTTACGTTAGCATTCGAGTAACAGTTGTGCACACACTGCCTGGTCAATTAGTCGTATCTATTTAATTTTCTTAGGTCATTTAGTTCCACGTAATACCTTTATATGGCATTTGGGATGGGTGTCGTCATCGTGTCTTTATCGAAGCCACGGCGGCTCAGTCAGTAAAACGTTGACTCGATAGCCCGGACGTCACGTGTTCCACCCCTATGTCGACCTAGGAACCTTATCGGGTTTGCCATACGTAAAAGATTCATTGACAGTTGGAATTCGATATAAGAGTGGATCGTAGCGCCCGGGCAACATTTCCTTCGCAGCACACTGTATGGAGCATGCCCGTCTTCATTAACCCAGACGGAGCAGAACATAATAACGTTAAACCCCATTTCCCATTTCATTTCAGTTCTTAATTAGTAATAATGGATCAAGGGGGGGGGGGCTAAGTTGGACAAAAGTCCCGTAGCCCCCACGGCCCACATGTTGGATTGAGTACAATATCAAAAGTTCCAATAGATGAGTGATTCGAATTTACATTCTCTGGACCCTCATTCTGTCCACTATCGGGACCCCACTTTAACTCCAAGCAATTTTTACATGAGAAAATGCATGTATATTACAGCTTATTTGACCTGAAATAATGTAAAATTACCAGTCGTTATACAATAACGAGTAAATTAAAAAGAATATGATAACACGGAATGAAATGAAATTTGTGTTTGACGTTCTACTGGTCTGCCCCGACTGGGCTAATGAAGACGGGCCTACGTCATAAATGTGTTATGGTGGAAATTTAGCCGTACAGCGAGCACTACGGCCTTCTCATATTTCAAATTCCAGCCGTCAAGGCTTATTTTACGTGCACGCCAATGTATACACGGGACCTCAGCTAACACCGGGATCGAACATACGACCTCCAGGTTAGCGAGCCAACGTTTAAGCGCTGAGCCACGACGTTAACACGCGAAACACACTACAAATTAATTATAACAAAAAAATATCAAAAGTGTGTTATTGTATAAGACAATTATAAGTTTATACACTAACAGTACTAAAATTTGATTTTATGATTCATTTAGGTTATTCTCCATTAATTTGATACAGGAACAAATTATTTTACTTCCTTGATCTAAAATATCTGTATTATAATCTATATGTTTAACAGATATATTTAGTATATACATGTCAACATGGCTAGTACTATACTGATATATGTACTTGTGTATTGTTTTATATTTGATGTCACCAATGGTAAGTATAATGATTGTTATTAACAATATATAAGTATATTTAACTGTAGGTAGATGATTGTTACAAGAGTAGTGTAATGTAACATATCATTTATCATATGATAGTAGTACAATAGAGATGAACTAGGCAATAGTCTACTCGACACAACACGGCATTTCATAACTGACAAATATTATAATCCTCTTCTCAATAAAATTCGCTTGTAACCAAACTTCACCAGTTAACGAGGATCAACTATCTTATTTTCTAAAATATACAACTGTAGAATTAAACTCATATTGGTGACGAACATATAGTAGAATACTTGGACCACCAGACACCCAAAACATGATTACTGTAAATATTTCAGCCCTTGACACATGTGAAGACAAGAGGACTGTAACACCATGTAAAGTTTATGGTGCACATTGTAAAGACAAACCTGGTGATTGGAGAGACTACATGGAGGAACACTGTATGTCAACCTGCAACTATTGTACAACAGGTAAATTATATACTATATTAATTTCTTGTTTCATGTGATACTCATTCATATTGAGTTATATATAATATATATAATATGTCTTTAACTCGGAGGCCTGGTCCCGAGTTCACGAAACAATCTCAGACTTAAGTTAAGATCTTACTCAACATCCAATTACTGTTTATGAAAAATATCTTTAATCCAAAAACACAAAATTTGCTCACAGTTTCTTATTGATGTACAGTGTATTTGATTCATTAAAACAACATAAGTTTTATAAAGGGCTATATTTTAGTTAAAATAAGGCGAACAAATTTGAGTTAATTCTTAACCTGCGTCTGGGAATGTTTTGTGAATTCGGAGCCTGGTGATGGTCATTTGGGGTTGGGTACGGCATTGACATTGTGTCGCAACAATATACCTCTATTCCTGCGAAAAAAATCACCGTTACCTTGAACATGCATTTAACATGCTCGGCCCATTTCGGGTCAAAATTTATAATACAATAACAGGATTTTGGAATGAATAGGGGGGATGGCACGTAGAGTGGGGAGTTGGACATTAAGCAGTATTAACGTCAGTGTTCAAACATGTCAATTACATTTTTCATAGTGACCATCATCCTCCACATCAATAAAAAAAAAACTCATTGAATTTCATCCACTTTAAAAATAAAGTGGTATTATTTATTATTTTATTTTATTCATTTATTTTTTTGAGCATGAAGAATGAGTATCGCTAATTACATAGTCATTATCACCACGTCCCTGCTTTAACTAATATTATTATATTGTTTGTCCTTAATAGTTAGTTTCTGATATCAAAAGTCAAATGATATTATAATGATGATAATGACTATATTTTCTGAGGGAACATATTTAGTACATGTATTTTAATTTTCAACGTGTCCCTCTTACTCTATAAAACTAGCAACTACATGTAGTAACAATATTTACACATATTTACAAAGTCCATATACATCATAAATAAGCTTATCGAGGGAAAAAATTAAACAAATGAGAAAGAAAAATGGCAAATAAACATACATTCAGAGGACAACAGTAGTTAATAAGGATTAAGAGATTTCACATGGTTTACTAATTCCCTTTTGAAAATAAAACATGAAGATACATGTTCCACAGTTTGAGGTGGTGAATTCCAGAATAAAGAAGTAGTATAGAATGTTATTGTCATTGGCCTTTTTGTTACGTTTTGGAATTGCTAATTTAAGTTGACTTTTTGATCTCAATGTCATGGTAGTTTCGGTCAATTTAGAATTTTCATAGAATATGTTGATGGTAATTAATCTCTTAGAATTTTGAAATTGAGCATTTCCTGATTGTATTAAATTCGTTGGTAGAATGTGAACTAATTAAGAGATTCAAATAAAAGCACCCAATGTGAATCAGGTTTTACATCCAAATTGCTTCTTGTTGCACGTTTTGAAAGTTTCTACAAGACCTCAAGTTTACCTTTATTGGCATTACCCCAAACTGTGGAACGTGATCAAAACATGGTATAATATAGCCGTTGAAAAATAAAATTCTAATATAAATAAGGGTTTAGCGATTTATTATTTGTATCGGGTACAGGGTATGTTTAGTCTTTCTAGACACCGTCGTTCTACTTTACTATTTTGGGTATTGATTATTGTGATATACTCTCATTTAGTAAGTACATTTACTATAAATTATCTCGATTTGGCCATTCTGTTAATGGATTTTTGTACGGAATCGCCCTTAGATATAAAATCTATTTTATACGCACTTTATAAACAAATAGCTTATTGAAGTCGGATTTAAAACAATTGTTAACAAAACTATGTTGTACGTTTGTATTTTAATCAGTTGGTACATGTTTGTCTAATTGGTATCACACTCATCATCAGTGAATATTCGCTAGATCCCTAATATCACTGAGAGGGTTGACATTGATGCGAGTTAATGAGCTTGTAATATTAACTTTTTTCCTTCTGCAAATTAAATTCTAAAACATTTTTTGTAGTATTAGAAAAATAAATAAATGTGTTTGAAGTATATCTGGAAAAAAAATTTTTCCTATTTAGTTATAAATGAGTATATAAATAAAATGATTAACAGACACCATTCTACACGGAACAGTCCATGTTGTGTGAACATTGAACGAGCTTTCGAGCCAATGACCGGGGCCGCGTGACGTGACGTCACATGTAGAATCAACTTGAACTTATAAAAAGGTCAGAGGTATTGCGATTACAATAACTCTGTGAAACAGATTGAATTGGTATAGGTACAGCTATGAGCTTTAACGTGTCATCAACACTTATCACATTTTTGTTATGACCGCGACATCTCCCGATGTCTTCTGTCAAGCTATATTTTACACACAAATACAATAGGTACTCAACAACCAAAATAATATAGATCATTGACAATAACACAGAGGTAACACCAGACATGTTAGAGAATGTGCTAATCCCATGACATCTGTCAGATCACCTGGACTGTAAATATGATTAGAAATTCACCGAAGATCACCTCCACCGCCTTAGTAATTCCACCATTAATTAATTACTCTGCAATTAAGATTATACAAACTATACATCCCAAATTTAATTATAGACAATGTTGTCCAGGATAAACACATACAGCCAACGACGAAGTACATGATTCTTATCATGTAGTACATGTAGACTGTTAGAGAAACTTGGTTTTTAATAAGAAATTTGATAGCTCAGTGTTCTGTTGTGTTCTGATTTCAGGACGGAAGTATTTGTAAAACAAAATATATAATGGAGAAAGCGGTCTACACTTACTTAATAATTTGGGGAAATCCATGTAATAATAACAAAAAAACATTTGTACTTTTTCAGGCTAAAACACCCCATTGAATATAATGTTGTCCGATTTGATTGATTTAAGCTGAAATTAATATTTCAGAAAATGTAGCTTTAGGCAAGACTACCAAACAGAGTTCATCTTTAGTCCAGATTGGATATAATTCATCTAATGCTGTAGATGGTGAACGTCAGGATAAATATGGATCTTGCTCAGTTACAAATAATGACATCAAATCATGGTGGTGTGTTGATTTACAGAAGCCATACAAAATCAACGAAATTAATGTTTATGGTGAAAATAGAAATAAAAGCAGTAAGTGTATAGTAATTTTATATAAGGATAATTTAATCATATGTTGTCAATCTCCTATGCACTGTATAAAAGACGTTTAAATTATTATACTGTATTATACCAATAAGATGTCTATCAATGTACACCGTACGGAGGATATCACTAAACTCATAATAGTTTAGAGGTGTAAATTCTCACTTCGGATATAACACACTTAAAATGATTCTTCAATTCTTCAATATACCGGAACATAAATATACATATATCGTCATACAGTACTGACAGGCCGGTTACTGCACTTAGTAAGGGATCCTAACTAGTGACTGCCATCAATGAACAAATTTTGTTATATTTAAGAAAAATCAGATAATAGGATAAAAGCAAATGTAATTAAAACTGACATGTCGATTGTCGAACAATCCATAAACTGTTAAACAATATGATAAATCAACAAAAACAATAGATGGGATTAACGTCGTTACCCAATGACGGCTTGAAAAGTGGTGACTGGTTAACGACTTGCATGCCAGTTGATCTTAAAGTGGTTAATTTAAGAAACATTAATTGTATTAGCGATTGGCAGATTATCACACCATTATAAAAGTTAAAGAACAATATTGTTGTCAGTCATTATCACATATGTGATAGAACTGGTTAAACACTTTTCAAATATAATTTTAACACACAGATCATTGCTACGATAGATGTGTAACAAAGATTTGAACACACGGAAGTGACGCAAAAAATGGAAAACACGAGTTATCCTTATATATAACTGACTGAAGTAGCGAGCGATAACAGATACACGGGTGAATTTCTGCTCACTGATAATTACTTCGAAGACCAAAAGTTGTTATATGAGACTGTGAGAGGAAATCTGACAAGTTATAAAAATACTGAATGTCACCGTGGAAGATTAAAATAGACGAAAATGGGTCTACAAGCACACATTAATATAATATGAATATTATAGTGATTCATATTCAATTTTTAAATTTTTATTGTAATTCTAATCAATCATGTTCAGTGAAATACGTGAACAGTCCAAATTGAAAGGCAATCGTTTACACCTGCTTAGTTCATGCTGAATATGTTTTTTATTATTATGTCGTTTGTGAATCAGCCATTGCTAATTACTTCTACATTGTCTTGTAGGATATATTTTTCTTTGTTCCTTACAAACGGCACCCAAAACCATAGAAATACACTACTCGTGTACATATATTAAAATGTTCATTATGTCTTAAATATTAGGATTGAAATGGGCCAATATTGAATTTTAATTCGTGTTTGTTATTTTGAATTTTATGGAAAATATTGAGTTAAAAGAAATAGACACCGCAAAATAAGAAAATATAATAAAAATAGTTGAATCGGTGTTTTTAAAAGTTATTTCAAGATCAACTAAAGCATGTCATTTGTAAACTTAGTAATCTGAAAGTATCCCCTGCAAAAAAAATTAACCTCATTTCTGTGTATAGATTTTTTGAAAGCGTTTAATCAAATCTACAGAATACACTGGTAAGCTAACCATTTTTTCTGTATCTAAACTGTGGGTATTTCTGATATTTGTCCCACTTACTGATCTGCATACATTTTAAATATTTCATTCACAGATTACACTTATAGGTTTCTATTTGTTTATTTTAGCTAAAGTCAACCTTACTAATTTTTCTGTAATGATCAGTGATACTGGTAGTTGTGATGAAGCAACTCTTAAATCATCACCAGTTTGTTATAAAGATCCTGGTATTCATAGAAATCCGTATAGTATAGATAGATGTAATCAACAACCAGATGTTGAGTTGACAGGACATATTGTATTTATAACAACAGACATTGAATATACATCTCTAGCATTATGTGAAGTAGAGGTTTATTCAGGTGATAAACATTTTTATATATTGATGAGTGGGATGAATATTTTATTTGTCTATTTAAATATATAAACAAAAAAAGACTGGACAGGTGTTTAAAGGGCAAATCTGAACGATAAGGCATCAGTTAGTTTAGTTTAAACAATATTATATTCAATAAACTGAACTGGGTTGAACAACAGGCAAAGGCCTATAAAAGTTCCCTCCAAACATACAAAACAGTTATATCTTATGTTTACAATAGACAATGGTGGACATATGTATATACAGTGAGTTACAAACATATATACATTTCTTGGAGTCTAATAGTAGGGTATTACATTTTCATTTTAGATTATGAAATTTATATAAGATAAAAAGTATTGCATATTGTAAATAAAATATTAAAGTGTTAAAATCTCTTGCTATCTTTAATGTATTTTTGCACTATGTTAAATATGTTAAAATTGGTATCATCTGAAAGGTTGGGGTTGCCATATAAGATTAGGTTAATTGTAACATTTTGTTTGAGGCGGTGTAAATTACTAGCTTTATAGTATTTGATAGTCAAAAAAAAATCATTCACCTAACAATTCAACGAACATGTTAGTCATATACAAATGTCTAATGTGAAATGAAACAAACAAACAAGATTACGTATTTATATATTCCGGATATTATCTAACATACATTTTCTATACTAATCTTTTTGGTTATTACGTACAAAATACCTGACCCAAAACGTTCTCGTCGGTCGTTGCCTGTGATTGATAGGAACAAATAAGACGTGCTTAAACAGTTAACGTGCTATATTTATAAATTGTTTATACCGGTTACAGTATGCCACTTTCTTATTTATTAATCAATAATATGATATTAATTTTAATTATCAGCTCGGTGTTCAGATGGATATTATGAAAAATCTAGTGGAACATGTTCATCTTGTAAGTGCGGTGGCAAACCATGTGATGACAATACAGGACACTGTAAACCATGCCCTATAAATTGTAAGAATGATAAATGTGATGTTACTGGTAGATGTACAGATGGCTGTAATGTGGGATTCTATGGTATTAATTGTACGGTTGAATGTAGTCCAAACTGTAAAGGTAATGTTTGCTACGGATCTGGGTCCTTATTCACGAAAACTTAAACTAAGATACAACCGAAATTTTAAGAAATACTGCAATTCAATTGGCTAACCAATATGCAAATTGATTTTACTGGTCAGCTAATCGAATTGCAGTATTTCTTAAAATTTCGATTGTATCTTAGTTTAAGTTTTCGTGAATAAGGGCCCTGGTGTATGTTCAGCTTGTAGAGAAGGATATTATGGCGATAACTGTTCCCTGAAATGTTACAATTCTTTACCAGGTGGTTGTAAGATGATGAATGGTGTCTGTATCAATGGATGTAAAGAAGGTTTCTATGGTAATGATGGAATGTGTAAGCTAGTATGTTCAAACTGTAAATCCGGTGGCTGTAAAATGAAAAATGGAATTTGTATTAACGAGTGTAAAGATGGATTTTATGGTGGGAGATGTAGATCGAACTGTTCAACATGTAAAGACGGTAGCTGTAAGCGTGGTGTTTGTACCAATGGATGCCAAGACGGATTTTATGGGGGTGTATGGTGTCTAAAAAAATGTCCAAACTGTCTACCAGGAGGATGTGATGAAGATGGTGGTGTTTGTAACAGGGGATGTATAGAGGGTTGGTATACAGATACATGTAATACACGTTGTAGTAGTAAATGTCAAGGTGGTTGTAATACATCAAATGGTATATGTACAACATGTTCTCCAGGTAGATATGGTGATACCTGTCAACATGACTGTAGTAGTCATTGTCAAGGTGGATGTAATAGATCAAACGGTATATGTACAACATGTTCTCCAGGTAGATATGGTGATAATTGTCAATATGAATGTAATAGTTATTGTCAAGGTGGATGTGATATATCAAATGGTATATGTAAAACATGTTCTCCAGATAGATATGGTGATGACTGTCAACATGAATGTAGTATTGGTTGTCTTGATAACATATGTTCTGCAGATGGGTCGTGTAGTTGTAAAGTCACCTATTACGGTGAGAAATGTGAACATGAATGCAGTAAAACATGTACGAATAAACAATGTAGAACATTACCAGCATTATATAAACCCGGCTGTACACGTGGATGTATTGATGGTTATAAAGGTTCTTACTGTCAAACACCATGCCCGGCTAACTGTGTAACATGTAACAACAGTGACTGTTCGCTTTGTAAATCTGGATGGTACGGATCTAATTGTCAAAATCGCTGTCCCGAGAATTGTCCCAATCAATGTGATTCGGTATCTGGAGAGTGCAAACAATGTGTAGGCAACACATTTGACAGGTTTTGTAATTCAACTTGCAGTAATGGATGCAGAAAGCACGATTCAGATACAGTATGTAACATGACTGGTGATTGTTTATTTGGCTGTATTGATGGTAAATTTGGTACAAGATGCGACAAACCCTGTAGCCTTACGTGTAATAATAAAGGCTGCGATCAAACAGGAAGATGTTATGAATGTCTTGAAGGATATCATGGTGACAGCTGTGAGATGAAGTGTGTTAAATCGTGTAGTCGGCGATGCAGTAGACAAGATGGCCAGTGTAATGAATGCATCCCAGGATATTATGGTAATTATTGTAACAACACTTGCAGCACTACTTGTTTAGAAGGATGTAGAGGAACTGATGGTTACTGTAATAAATGTATGAATGGATATTATGGTAATTACTGTAACAATTCTTGCAGCACTACTTGTTTAGAAGGATGTAGAGCCAATGGTTACTGTATTAAATGTATGCATGGTTATTATGGACGAACATGTAATCAAACGTGCAGCAAGACTTGTGAAGGGGGGTGTAAAAGATATGGTAATTGTTTACGATGTTCAAAAGGTTTTTATGGTGACTACTGTGACAAGAACTGCAGTGACAATTGTATAGATTCAGTTTGTGAAGGACCAACTAACCAACTAAAGTGTTCTAAAGGATGTGTTGAAGGGAAGACGGGGCGATATTGTGAACGTGGATGCCTCCAGCATTGTATTAACTGTGACCAATTCAACGGATATCAATGTTCAACATGTGAAGATGGTTGGAGGGGAACTTATTGTTCAGAGCGTTGTCCAGAACATTGTATCAAATGTGTTCAAAAGAGACAATGTGTATCATGCAAATCAGGTTTCTTTGGAAAGAGATGCGATAAACCATGTCCCACTAGATGCGTAAATGGTGTTTGTGACATGAATGGTACCTGTAACGCATGTAAAAGGGGACTTTATAGTTCTAGATGTGACCATGAGTGTCCCACTGGATGCGTAAATGAGGATTGTGGCATGAATGGTACCTGTAATGCTTGTATAGTTGGTTATTATGGACGAACATGTAATCAAACGTGCAACAAGACTTGTGAAGAGGTTTGTAATAGAGATGGTAATTGTTTACGGTGTAAAGATGGTTGGAGAGGACCCGAATGTTCACATTCTTGTGCTTTGTTATCTGAAAATTGTATTCAGTGTCACCAATCACTATCGCGTTGTTTATCCTGCAAATCTGGTTGGTTTGGAAAACGATGCGATGAGCGATGTCCTACAGGTTGTCTTGGTGATAGTTGTAATATTAACGGACATTGTAAGTCATGTGAACTAGGGCGATTTGGACAAAGATGTCGTGAATTTTGTCCATATGGATGTTTAGGAGATAATTGTACTATAAATGGAACTTGTATGGCCTGTAGACAAGGTAGATTTGGTATAAGATGCAGAGACTTCTGTCCTACTGTATGTCCAGACATCTGCCACTTGAACGGGACTTGTAAATCATGTTCATCTGGGTCTTTTGGTCCCATGTGTAGTAGAACCTGTCCTATAGGATGTTTAGATGATATATGTAACATGGATGGTACGTGTAAAGCTTGTAAACATGGATATTATGGAATAACATGTGACAAAACGTGTAGTACCAATTGTAAATCTATTACTGGTTTAACTGTATGTAATATAACAGATGGTTCATGTATGGATGACTGTGGAGATGGTACATCTGGACATAACTGTACAGAAGGTAAGAAGATTCTGCATTGATTTGTTGTTGCTTGTAAAATAGTTTTCGTTACTGTGGGTATACAGTCTAAATACAGTATAGCTATGAAACAATATGAAATGAAATGAAATGGGGTTTAACGTCCTACTGTTCTTCTCCTAACCTGGGCTAATGAAGACGGACATACGCCATACAGTGTGCTATGAAGGAAATTTTGCCTGGACAGCGGCGCTACGGCCTACTTTTATATCGAATTCCAACTGCCATGGGATCTTTTACGTGCACGCCAATGGGTACACGGGACCTCGGTTTTTCGTCCCATCCGAACGACTAGATAGCTGTCCTTGTCAGGCCCTCCGTCCTGTATCCCTGACAAGAGGGAAACCACGCCGGAAATTCTTGATGAACTTTCTCGGCCAATGCAGGGATCGAACACCCGATCTCCAGGCTAGCGAGCCAGCGTCTTACCCACTTAGCCACGTAATCCCCCAAATTAAACAATAAATATTCAACGATCATTTACGATGAAAACACGCTGATGTTATAAAATAGATAACTGTTAATTTTCCAATGCGTGACGGGTTCCAAAATACTAGTCTGTCAATGGCTGAAATACCCAAACGATTGCCTCATTTAATAACCTACTAGAAGTCACCTGTATCATACACAAGGCAGGATATACATTCACTTATCATTTGATCAGTGTTGATATGAAGCTAGCAAATTTTGATCTACTGTTGTGTGGCATTGGGAACGAAATTGATTATCACATATTTTAGAAAGATTGTGTTAACACTTATCAATTATTATTAATATAAAATGAATTCCAGGTTTATTTAAACATAAATCAACTACTGGTATAAATATAGGACTGGTTATTGGTATTGTTGTTGGTATTGTTGGTGTTATATTTGCTGGTATTGCATTAATAGTTTACTGTAAGAGAAGGTAATTTTTAAATTTTTGTAATAGTGATAGCTTTGTATAAATACACTTCTGTCATCTTTGTTGTTTTCAAATTCCGAATTTTTACGAATCCTTTTCACATTTGATTTGAGTCGTTATGGTCATGCGAGGCCGAACCCTGTCGATATTCAGAATTCCGCGGTTTCACGTACCATTGTCAAAATCTTGATACAGTCTACAGAATTTTAACATCATTTTATGAGAGGATGAACTCTATCGATATTGAGTTTCCAGAACTTTTTTTGAGAGACATGGTTTTAGCGTCCACTCGACACACACCAGATCATTGGTCATTTCGGAATTAACACATGGTTCAATTTTATTTCAATAATTCGCTTGCGCGTAGGGGGTCTTTAGCAGTGTGAGGAAACCGGAAGACCCTAGAGAAAACCCACGAGGTGAACATGATAGAGGTTATCGTTTTAAACACACAAGCTTGTGAACACGATAGAGATCAGATTTTTTTATAAGATTTTCTTCCTTATCAAATTTGATCAATATCCACACGGCTGTTGTGTTGAGGGAACGTTTTTGAAAACTTTATATGGCTTTATTTTAATTCCGCTAATAAAACAAACCAAAAATTTGTAGCACGTAAATAGTGAATCTTAATGTTTCTTTTTGATTAATATTTTTTTGCTCCATTTTCTCTTCAGAAATATATCCCGGGTTACAGAAGAGAGTGAACCATATTATGAATATATTGCTGTGGGAGATGTCGTTACTACAAGTGCTGTATCAGAGCACGAGAATGAACAACGTCACCAAAATACAGAATTATCAATTAAAAGCGCAACCAATGTTTATGTATAAGATCACCAACATCGATATCATGTACCAACTATGACGGGCTGAACGAAAGTACAATAGAGACAATTACTCCAGTTTATGATGATTTGATGTAAAAGATTTTTATTATTCTCAGTGTACAATCTAGTAACCTCCCTTGCTAATATAATGTTAATAGTGTATATTGTTTAAAAGCCATCAAATGTAAATGGTTGGACGATAAATATATATTATAAAATAGATATAATCGCATGTATAATCACAATTGTATGACACGTGGACTATTCGTTGAGTAGAAATGAAATGTAATAATATTGTTTTATAAATTTTTTCATTGTTGAGTGGTATCTGGTAATGTGGATATATATATACGGAAATGTTGCTTCAACATATGGAATCGTGTAACTTGGTTTTATTTTTATTACTTGTGAATTGTAGCTTATATTATCAATTGCATTATTATCAGTCGCTACAGTTTTTTAATATGAAACTATATCGCTTTCTTATAAATTTTGTTTTCATTATTGGGTGGTAGCCTATATTGTAATGAAAGTATAGTGGTATAGTCGTGTAACTTCGTTTTTTTATGTATTACTTGTGAATTGTAGCTAATCAATTGTAGCTTTCTTATAAATTTTGTTTTCATTATTGGGTGGTAGCCTATATTGTAATGAAAGTATAGTGGTATAGTCGTGTAACTTCGTTTTTTTATGTATTACTTGTGAATTGTAGCTAATCAATTGCATTCATTATTTTGTTGTTATTTTATTTTTGCTACATTATTTTGAAATTAAACTGTATTGCTTGTTTTCAAATTTTGTTTTCATTGTTGGGTGGTATATATATGGTACTGTTGGTATAGCAGCATGTTCCTAAAGCAACAACATCTAGCATTGATAAGATGTACGGAGTTAAAGCGAGATTAAGCCTTCTATTGAAGTTGGTATAGTGGTGGCATGTGGTAATGTTGATGTAGTGGTATGTGGTAATTCTGGGGTATTGGTGTTGCGTGGTAATGTGGGGGTATAGTAAGGTGATATTTTTTATGTGCTATTGTTTACACAGGAGAGTTATTGTAGTAGTGGTATGCGGTAATGTTGGGACTTGGGGTATTGGTGGTGTGTGGTAATAGATGGGTTTTATATTGTATTGTGTATTGTATTGCTGTTGACAATGAGATGTTAAACCCAATTCCAATCCATGACATGGATATAGATGTTTTAACTAACTCTCTTGACAATTTGCCGTTTATAGATGTTATATAATATGTGTGTATAATGACAAGATTGGCCGTCCTTAAATAATATGTGTAAGGGTCATTGCGGGTAGGGACGCTGATGACCAGAGCTACATGTTGACAAAATGCTATAGAATGTTGATAATACGTTTAAGGGGAAGCAATTCAAGCAGTATTCGTACAATCGACAATCGTAATCCCGAAGGCTGACAGTGGGGCTGAACTGTATATAAAGCTGTGGTTGCTTTTCATACATAAACACTGGTTATGCCTAATTTGTTTTCACAAATACATCTTTACGAGTATATATGTAACATTATTTAGTAGTCATGAGAAATCATCTTATAATAACAATTTATTGATAATTCCGATGATAATCTCAATCTTTATAACCACAAAGAGACCAACGCGTCCATAAAGATGATTTGTCATGATTACTAAATAATATTACAAGCCATCAAAGGTCATGGGTTTAACACTGAATTCAACTGGGGGGGGGGGGGCAATATAAAAGTAACGGGTGTAAAATCTATTAGTCCAACTGATGAAGGTATAAACAGAAGTATCACAGTATGAAATAGTATTATATCGTAATTGATATAAAGGGGAAACTATGATAGTTGGTAGAACACATAGTTTTTGTACTACGAGTATAACTATCTTTGGCTTCAATGTACAAGACCCTTGAAAACTATATATTATTACATGAGAGACTGCATTTGTAAAATCTAAGCATATTTGACAGACATAACTGTGTTAATATGTTACAACATATATCGTGTTTGCATTAAAATCGCCTCAAAAGAATTAATATGTATCTTAATTTCTGCCGGAGTTACCTATAGGATTGGCAAGCTGAAGCCAAGGGCCGCAAGGTCTATAAGGTATATAAAATTATTGATAAAGTCTTAAACACACGCCTTCATCCTCGGCTTTGCTCTTTATTATTAAACCATACTTTCATTTTCCTCTAGTCGAGAGGGTGAGGTATTATAGGGTGTAGTGTGGGGGGAACAAAGTGAAATAGTCGAGGACCTTTCTTCCTCTAAATCTGACACATTATAATAGTTGGAAATAGACCAGATGAATAGGATTGTCGCGATGGTACCAAATTGCATTCAGATAATTACTCTCGACTAATGGCACCAAATTACATTCTGATAATTAGACAGTATACTAAGGAAAGGGTATCACTCGTATGAAATAGTTTGGTGCATAAATGGGTGCATCTCATCAAACTTATAACCGGGCAAACATAAACTTAAAAGAAGTTAGATTCTCTTGACAATCTTACACTTAGACTTAAACTCAAACAAACGACAGTTACAAAGTAGAAAACACGCCTAATAAACACCATCAGCTCAGCTTTTCGCCTGTCCCAAACCTAACCAGCGTTTTTTCAGCAAGTCTCTAATTTATCCATTCACTACTATTTGGAGTATTATAATTTCTCGTGACGAAATAGTATTAAAAAATTCATAATCAATGATGAACGTTTGTGATTTCTAGAGTAACAAACATGAAATGGACCTATACGTTGTTTAATAAACAATATTATGATTCACCAATTATACTCACCCTTGTCTAGAAATTGCTTTCTCGAAATATGGCAATTCTGTTGACTCTTTGGTCTAGAATCGGCGATGAGTTTATATTTTCTGTCAGGTTTTGTTAAATGATATTGATTATGAGACCGAAGGAGAAGAAAGTAAAGACGTGAATTAGAACGCCTTACTGGACGCTCTGTAGATTCCATTCGCCAGGTGTATATACAAAGTCACCCCTGCCAGATTATTGTGAAATAAAAATTTGTAGTCTTCGTCCATATGATTCATGAAAAAGTTATCCCCCTTTCTTGTTTTAAACTGTCACTATAAATGTTAATGTTTTACTGATATTATAACGTACATATATATAGAGAAGAGATGTAGAGATCAACATGGCTAGTAATATACTGATACATATACTTGTTTCTTGTTTTATATTTGATGTCAATATTGGTAAGTTTATAATAATTATTAAATTCATACATAAGTATAATATATGACTTTTTGTAAATGATTGTTATAAATTTAATCTAAAAAACAGTGTCTTTTATTATTAATTTTTATCATTTAATAGAACGTTTGACTATTATTAATAAACTGACAAATGATTTCCTCGTCTCAATAAAATTAATTTGTAGACCACACTTTCACAATTGACGAGATATTACCTTTTAAACGTTCAACCGTAGATTAAAACTGACAGTGATGACAAACATACAGTAGAATGCTTATATTGACACACGCTATTGATAATATGAACCAACACTGGATTACTGTACATGTTTTAGCTCTGGACACATGTGAAGATACATCAAATGCAGGACCAATCTGTAAACGTAACTATAAACATTGTACAGATAAACCTGGTGCTTGGAAAGGTTATATGGAGAAAACATGTATGTATACCTGCAGTTATTGCACTAAAGGTAAATTATTTCTTACGTGTATTGCTTGTTTCTGATGATAGTCATCTAGATATTTTACTACAGGTAAATCATTTCGTACATGTGTTTCATGTTTGTGGTGATCATGTAGACATTATACTATACAGGTAAATCAAAGGCGGATCCAGTGGGGGGCATATACGGCGCATGCACCCACCCACCTCCTCTCTGGATCCAAGAGGGTGCACTGTTGAACCGGATTCTTGTCTCCGATTACTGGAAATGGTCTTTTCGTGCTTCTAGTATTCGAAATTTTCCTGGGAAGGGCCCCCCTGGTACCCCGTTGTGTGCTTCGGACCTTCGGCGCTCGCACCCCCTCCCCCTGTTCATGATCCCTGGATCCACCCTTGTAATTATTTCGTACGTGTATTTCTTGTTTCTGCTGATAGTCATCTAGACATTATACTATACAGGTAAATTTTTTCTAACATGTATTCCATTTTTATGTTGATAATCATCTAGACATTATACAACAGGTATATGTATTCAATGTTTCTGGTGATAGTCATCTAGATATTGTACTACGAGTAAATTATTCCCTACACGTATTTCTATATTCTGGTGAAATCCATCTTGATATTATTAAGCTATATAGCATGCCTGTAACTGTATAGCTAAGAAACACAACATAATTTATATGGCAAACAATCACTGGTTTATACACATATAGCACAAAGTAGAAAACATTATTGATTCGGGTAAATTTCTGTACTGTTGTGTTCTGTCAATATCTTATAACGACCCTCACTTTCTCTTTAATTTGAGTAATTAAAATACTGGTAAATTAAATTGTATTTGTCCATGAATAAATTGATTTAAACGGAAATTAATATTTCAGAAAATGTAGCTTTAGACAAGAATACGAAACACAGCTCATTTTTCGATCAAACTGGATATAATTCATCTAATGCTGTAGATGGTGAACGTCAGGATAAATATGGATCCTGCTCAGTTACAAATAATGGTGACGTCAAATCATGGTGGTGTGTTGATTTACAGAAACAATACACAATTAACGAAATCCGTGTTTACGGTGAAAACGGTGGTGTAGTTAATGGTAGTAAGTATTTATATAAGGCTATTTAAATTATTATTCTTAAAATACAAATGCGATACTTCGATTTTGGCGTACCATTATTTGATATAATGTTACTGGTAAGGTGCCAATCTCCATTATTTATACTAGTTGAAATATTGAACTCGCGTGACGATTTCTTTGAAATGTATCTGTATTTCTTATTTGTTATAGCCATAGACAACCTAGCTAATTTTACTGTGATTCTCAGCAATACTGGAAGTTGTGATGAAGCAACTCTTAAATCATCAACGGTTTGTTATAAAGATCCTGGTAGTAATAGAAATCCGTATAGAATAGTAAGATGTGATCAACAACCAGATGTTGAGTTGACAGGACAGATTGTATTTATAACAACAGACATGGAATATACATCTCTAGGATTATGTGAAGTAGAGGTTTATTCAGGTAATACATTATGAATGTATGCATGTCCGAACGTCATGGTACGTCAACAGCTTATGCGGGGCTATCGGAGAGATCCACATTTGGATCACATTGATGACCCAGAGAAATAAAATTTAAAGTATGCAAAAAGTACGAAAGGACGTATTTCAATAGTATGGTCATGGCCTCCTTTTTTCTTGGATTCCGGGGGCGTAATCATGATAGATTATCAAAAGAAGGGTTCCACCATAAATATTGCACACATTACACTGATGAATTGGTTAGGTTGGGTGATCAAATCAAAGAAAACCCTATAGGTATATGGCTGTTACAGGTAGCAGTGAGCTCTGTATAGGACTGTAGATTCAAGATGCTCCCTCGCTCAGCCTATTCTCTAGCTCCTTCCATGTGACTTCTTCCTTTTCCCGTAACTCAATTTTGTCCAAAAGGGCCCCGGATTTGCGACGGATAATGAGGTCATCACTGCTATGATGGGGGCGGGGGATTTGTAGGGTAACTTGACGCATGGATGTCATGGCGGATTATGTTGAAAAATAAAAATATGACAATTTTCAAATAGATCGCAAATTACATAATATTACTTATGGAGGATGGAAATGTTTGGGACATCTCCCATGTTTTTAAAGGATTCTGATAAAAGAGTCCCCGCATGATTTTAACCCACACTAGTCTGCTGGAAGTGTTGTGGGTTTAAAGAGTAATTAATAAAAATACAAGATGTGCGCTATATGGTAAAAGAGTCCATTGGTGGCCATTTTGGATTGATGTTAATTACTCAAAACCAGCAACACTTCCAGTGGATAATATTGGTTTGGAATTCCCACAGTGAAATCAAAGTATGTTGCAATTTGTTTCTGGTACCATATATATATATATATATATATATGTATAGTCTATGTCTTCTAGTCAAATAAGGCTTTTAGCCATTCTATGACTACTGTGTTTAAAAAGAAATGAAAATATTACCAAACAAATCCGCTTTCCAGTTCTCGAATAACATAATCCATAATATGTTGTAATGTGTATTAACTGATGTAAATCTTATCTCAATTTAAATAGTATTAACATATATCAATTTGACTTTTAATTATCAGCTCGGTGTTCAGATGGATATTATGAAAAATCTAGTGGAACATGTTCATCTTGTAAGTGCGGTGGCAAACCATGTGATGACAATACAGGACACTGTAAACCATGCCCTATAAATTGTAAGAATGATAAATGTGATGTTACTGGTAGATGTACAGATGGCTGTAATGTGGGATTCTATGGTATTGTTTGTACGGGTGAGTGTAGTCCAAACTGTAAAGACAATGTTTGCTACGAAGCTGGTGTATGTTCAGATTGCAGAGAAGGATTTTATGACGATGTCTGTTCAAAGAACTGTTCCAATTGTAAACCAGGTGGTTGTAGAAGGAATAGTGGTGTTTGTATTAATGGATGTAAAGACGGATTTTTTGGTAATAATGGAAAGTGTAAGCGAGTATGTCCGAACTGTAATCCAGGTGGCTGTCAAATGAAAGGTGGATCTTGTATTAATGGGTGTAAAGATGGATTTTATGGTAAGAAATGTGAATTGAAGTGTTCAACATGTAAACCTGGTGGGTGCGATAAGCAGGGTGTTTGTGCCAATGGATGTCTAGACGGGTTTTATGGGAGTGATGGACTGTGTCTTAGAAAATGTCCAAACTGTCTACCAGGAGGATGTGATAAAGATGATGGTGTTTGTATCAGTGGATGTATAGAGGGTTGGAATACAGATACATGCAATACAAGTTGTAGTAGTTATTGTCAAGGTGGATGTAATAGATCAAATGGTACATGTAAAACATGTTCTCCAGGTAGATTTGGTGATTATTGTCAATATGAATGTAGTATTGGCTGTCAAGGTGGATGTAATAGATCAAATGGTATATGTAAAACATGTTATCCAGGTAGATATGGTGATTATTGTCAACATGAATGTAGTATTGGTTGTGTTGATAACATATGTTCTACAGATGGGTCGTGTAGTTGTAAAGCCACTCATTATGGTGATAATTGTAACAGGACATGTAATGATGGATGTATAAATAGCGAATGTTCTAGTAATGATGGCCTTTGTTCATGTAAAGGCACCCATTACGGTGAGAAATGTGAACATGAATGCAGTAACAAATGTATTGATAGACAATGTACAGCATCACCCGAATCGGGTGAACTACGCTGTACAGTTGGCTGCATTGATGGTTATATAAATTCTGACTGTCAAACACCATGCCCTGTTAACTGTAGTAAATGCAGTTATTCAGGTTGTGGATCCTGTAAACCAGGTTGGTATGGTAACAAGTGTCAGACATCTTGTCCTAAGAACTGTCCAAATCAATGTAATTCGGTATCTGGCGAGTGTGATGAGTGTGAAGGCAACACATTTGGCAGGTTTTGTAATTCAACTTGCAGTAATGGATGCAGAGAGCACGATACAGATACAATATGTAACATGACTGGTGATTGTTTATTTGGCTGTTTTAATGGTAATTATGGTAAAAGATGTGACAAAACATGTAGTCCCGAGTGTAGTAATAGAGGCTGCGATCAAACAGGAAGATGTTATGAGTGTCTTGAAGGATATCATGGTGACGGCTGTGAGATGAAGTGTGTTAAATCCTGTAGTGGGCGATGCAGTAGACAAGATGGCCAGTGTAATGAATGCATCCCAGGGTATTATGGTAATTACTGTAACAACACTTGCAGCACTACTTGTTTAGAAGGATGTAAAGCATCGGATGGTTACTGTAATAATTGTACAGCTGGTTATTATGGTAATTATTGTAACAACTCTTGTAGCACTACTTGTTTAGAAGGATGTAGAGAATCAGATGGTTATTGTAATAATTGTACAGTTGGTTATTATGGTACTTATTGTAACAATTCTTGTAGCACTTCTTGTTTAAACGGATGCACAGAATCGAATGGTTACTGTAATAATTGTACAGCTGGTTATTATGGTAATTACTGTAACAATTCTTGCAGCACTACTTGTTTAGAAGGATGTAGAGGAACGGATGGACACTGTAATAAATGTGTCAATGGTTATTATGGACGAACATGTAATAAAACGTGCAGCGATACGTGTTACGGGGGTTGTAATAGAGAGGGTAAATGTTTAGGATGTAAATATGGTAGGAGAGGATCTGTCTGTTCTCAGGCATGTTCGTCTTTATCTAAAAATTGTATTCAGTGTCATCAATCTATTCCACGTTGTCAATACTGTAAATCTGGTTGGTATGGAAGACAATGCAATGAGCGATGTCCTACCGGGTGTCTTGGTGATAGTTGTAACCTTAACGGAAGTTGTAATTCCTGCAAACTAGGACGATCTGGACAAAGGTGTGCATTTTGTCCACCTGGATGTTTAGGAGATAATTGTACTAAAAATGGAACTTGTATGGCCTGTAGACAAGGTAGATTTGGTATAAGATGCAGAGACTTCTGTCCTACTGTATGTCCAGACATCTGCCACATGAACGGAACTTGTATATCATGTAACTCGAGGTCTTTTGGTACCATGTGTAATAAAACCTGTCCTATAGGATGTTTAGATAATATATGTAACATGGATGGTACGTGTGAATCTTGTAAACATGGATATTATGGAATAACCTGTGACAAAAAGTGTAGTACCAATTGTAAATCTATCCTTGGTTTAACTGTATGTAATATAACAGATGGTTCATGTATGGATGATTGTGGAGATGGTACATCTGGACATAACTGTACAGAAGGTAAGAAGATTCTGCATTAATTTGTGTTGTATGTAATATTAGTGTAAATACAACAATATGAATATTACAAATTCATTTCATGTGGAAATTGGTAAAGATGAATATACCCTAACCTTTGCTTTATTTAGATGTATAATTAATAGGAGGACTTACTTTATAATCCTACCATCATTGCGGAAATATTTAGTCTATAATCCCAGTCTGTAAGTACTTGGAATACGTACTTGTATGAACATTTTATCCAGGCTTACCTAAAGCTGAAACAAGTAATAACAAAACTACTGGTATAAATATTGGTTTGGTTATTGGTATTGGTATTGGTATTGTTGCTGTTATAATTGCTGGTGTTGTTATTATAGTTTACTGTAAGAGAAGGTAATTCATACTCTATTATACTTTTGTTGATGTAAATTCAACGTTGCCATCTATTTAGAACTGCAATTTCATACGGTGCGTGTAAATTAAAAGAAGAAATGACTATGCTTTTAAAACGACGTACAATATAACAAGTCCTGTTAAACTGATGCTGAAGTCAAAGGGAGGGGTAGAGGAGGGAGTTTTTAACGTCCACTCGACACGAACCAGGTCATTCCGTGACTAACATATCGTTTAATTTTATTCCAATAATTCATTTGTGCGTTTGGGTCTTTAGCAGTGGGAGGAAACCGGAGGATCCGGAGAAAACCGGCAACCACATCCTTTGTCACATACAAGCAGGGAATCGAAACCACCCCACTTGATTCAACGACAATCTTCTGATTAAACGCGGACGCGTTAACCATTCGGTCACCCCCCCCCCTTAATATATTTGTAAAATTGCATAATCTTATTTTCATTTTCTTTTCAGAAAGACTTTATGGGTAACAAAAAATCGTGAACCACGTTATGATTATATTCTTGTCGGAGATGTCGTTACTACAAGTGGTGTATCAGAAGATGAAAGGGGGAAATCTGACCAAAATACAGACGTATTAACGGAAAAAACATCCAATATATGTATTAACAGCCAACAAAAATCGATATCGGCTATCGACTAAGAGTGGTTAAAATAAAGCACAACAGAGACAATTATTCTAACTTAGGATACGAAGGTGTAACAAATTTCTATTACAAAGCTGATTTAAAATTTTATTATTGCACCACCTTTCTTGTCAATCTATCTGTTGAAAGCCATAAAATTTAAATTGTTGGACGATAATATTTTTTTTATAAAATAAATAAATCACATATGTGTTAAAATGTACAATTCGACTTTTGGTTGATGTAATGTGATAGGAAGTGTAAAACAGATTATAGTATGTTGGACAGGGTTATTTATTTTCAATGTCGCTCCGACTGTTCCCATTCAGATTGATTCAATTAAAGCTGCTTGTAGAAGCTATTAAACGTATTATACTTTAGTATAACTGTCTGATTTATAATAACGTCTTTAAAGGAGAAGTCTGATATATATATATATATATATATATATATCTATATATATATATATATATATATATATCAATGAACGTTTCTTTATCTTTTCATAATCATTATCTAACCCCGTTAATACTATACGACGCTCTGTGATATTCTAGTTCTCCGTGTGGTGTTGATAATATCTTACCACAGTCCTCGTTATATAACAGTATTCACGTGTGTACACCCACAGAAGTTATAGTCGTATCACTACAATGAATAATGAAAAAGCTAGCGAACATTACTAGACGACCATGAGATATGCTAAAAGTAAACTTTAAGACAGTGTAATATGGCTATTTGATTGATATACTTTAACAAACTGTACGAACAGATAGATACTCTATAAAATCGTGGTCGTCTTTTAAAAATGTATAGATTTTTGTATTTTAATGATTAATGATAAACACCTTTTTATAATATACTAGCAGGATACCCGGCTTCGCTCGGGGTCATAACTCCGAAACCGGAAGTGGTAGACTAACGCCACCTGGTCTATGTTACTCCCCGGTCCGAGCTACCCCTATACCCCAAATTTCAGACTCGGGGCAGACCGGCTTCGCTCGGGGGAAACCGGAAGTGGTAGACTAACGCCACCTGGCCTATGTTACTCCCCGGTCCGAGGTAACCTTATAACCAAAATTTCAGACTCGGGGCAGACCTAGTGTAGCCGCCAACCCCGAACAGACAGACAGACAGACAGAAAGACAGACAGACAAACGACAGTCACAAATATATATATAGATTTCGTTGACAGGATCTTTGAAAGAGATAGACTATGGGAATTAGTAGATCTTTGTATATCGAGTACACGTCCATTTTGCCTAAATTCTTTAAAAGTGACAATATTTACAAGACTTATAAATATGAAGAGAAAAATTTCAAGAACGCAATAATATAATTAATTAATTTGCCGTCCTTCATACCAATTATGTAACCATATATTGTTATTATCGCGGAAGTCTTCTCTTATTACATATCCATAAAAACATACATCAATGAAATATGATCATTATATACCAACATCAGAAATGTTTTACTATTAAAATATGCAAGTGGTCCTTGATTTCGTTTTATTTAACAGTGTACTATACATATATAATTTCAATTAAATATGTTTGGTGTATATAAGATAAAGGAACAACATACAACTTTCATTCTTTAGATTTACTATCAGTAGTTCAACAGCCTTAACGCCTCTACATGACCGGCAATAATATGATTAACGGCTGAAGGTTGCTACCCTATTACATGGGCGTGGTGACCCATGATTTTGCATGAGGAACCAGATCCCGCCCAGACCACCCAAAAAAAAAATCTTTATGTGTGTGCGGGGGAGGGGGTGGGGAGGCAGTCCCTCCCAGATACCTTATTACAGGGGCTTGGTGACCCATGATTTTGCATGAGAAACCAGATCCCGCCCGGACAACAAAAAACAATATTTATATGTGTGTGCTGAGGGAGGGGGTGTGGGGAGACAGTCACTCCCAGTGCCACAGAGCTGTGTGGAACATGTTAGAGTCGATTTGTAGCATATCTGACCCACGGTATATGTTTGACACTTGTTGAAACCGCGTGATTTTTTGCCATTTGCAAGGGGCACAAAAACTCAAGGGGGCGTTAAAACTCAAATTCATGACGCAAATCTCGTCATTGCGTTCCTCTCACACAGCCCCTGCCTTATTACTATATCATGCTACTAATTGTGGGCGCTACGGTGCCTCGCTTACCTGGGCGTCATGGGTTCGATCCCGGTGATGGCCGAGAAAGTTTCCGGTGTGGTTTCGCCTAGTCAGTGGTACAGGACGGGGCGCTTGACAAAGACAGCTATCTAATCGTTCGGGTGGGACGAAAAACCGAGGTGCCGTGTACACATTGATATGCACGTAAAAGGTCCCTTGGCAGTTTGAATTCAAGCTCCATCACCCGTTGTCTTGAATTGAAATTCAACGGTTTGAATGACTAAATCAGCCCAAAACATATCAAAAAAATACAAGCCGAAAGTTATTTATTATATCTGAAACACCATTTCTACCTCAGAATAAAAAATACTGCAATAGTTTTCAGATTAGATAGAATTTTATCGGACAGTTTTGGGGAGGGTATGATTTTTGGTGGGGGGGGGGGGGCAAAATTATCACCATTCCCAGGTCAAGCTTCAGTCCCTTTATGAAAGTCTAACTGCATATACTATTCTACTATTGATATTATCTACACTAAAACCACACCCCTCAATGACAGATCTTACGTTCTACAGCGCACGAGTTAACAATATTGTGAGCCAACCGCTCTACAACAAATAACTGATTCAGATGATCAGTGAGTGGCCATTTAACGATTGAGTACAGTAAAACACAACGGATATTTATATGACATACAATCAATGGTTATTACATTATATATATACAGCGAGGTGTGTTGACTTAAATTCTTATCGCTATACAACCAGTCATTGTATCCCATAATATAAAATGTTCTCCGTGTCTGTTTTATACATTTAGTAACACATACACACCAAACAAAAATAAGATGGGCGTCATGATTATATGGTATAATGTTTCAAAACATTTCGAAAATTATTCCTTGCTAGTATTACCCTCATGTTTATCGACCAGCAAATTAAAGATGCATTAGGTAGGGTTTGGACATTGTGCTAGCTGTTCTTAGTAAACTAGATCAAAAACAGATAATGAAATATGAATACATTGATAATTTCAATCAAATTACTTTATTCTGAGCGAAAGATGGTGAATTTTTGACAAGGTAGTCTGGATTGTGAAGTATACCATTGCTGCGACAATAAACACAGTTTCGATTTTACATTTTAACGTTACATTATTAAAGATACATTATGGAAGATTAGATAAAGAGCTGGCAGTTCTTACTATAATAGTTAAATACTAGATGATGTAAATGAATTATGCTGAACATTTCAGTCAAATTGCTTCACTCTAAGCGGAGAAAAAGTTATTTTAAAATCTATATAGCCTCGATTGTCACTGTTACAGCTGTCAAGATAAAAAGAAAGTCTCGATTATCCAGTCTTGCGTTTAATCGTCAACGGACGTTGAGCAGCAGAAAATCGGACAGATAAGATGGCATCGAGAGTTGATTATGGTCTTTTCATGTTAATAATGTCTAATTAATAGTTTATACTGTATAACATTTCAGGCCTAAAGAAAGGCCTGCAATGGGCAGATTTACCTCTTGCATAACGTATGTTTAAATGGTGTGGGTGTTCTAATCCATTCAATATCGCAACCACAAGATGACCGAGATAGGTGATTATGGACTTGTCATGTGAATATGTCTAAATAATACATACATTTGAAGCTAGAAAAATACCTGTAATAGGTGGATTGAGTTCTTACATAATGTATCTTTAATATAATATAAGACTTGTTAATTCGTTATGAAACGCAAAAATATGGCAATAACATAAACATAACTTAAAAACAAAACAACCGTTTAATGGAATTGTTTTTTTTCTTTAAAAGTTGGTGCGTATTTAGATTTGATGTTACACAGTATAATAAGTGTGGTGTCCGATATTATGATAAAAATAAATAATGTTTTGAAACATGATATATTTAACACGGAGAAGAAATATAACATGGTTCAGGAAACAGACCATTAATTATTCTTTAGAATCACAATACTCTTTTGTAATTTGAGCTGGTTGTATGTAAACACTTACTTCTTTATGTGTTTGATCTTTCTGCCTTGTTTTAATAAATATTAGGTAATATGATCAGATGATTAAACTTACGTGACGACGAAGTCATATTGCAATGGCTGAAGTATTAAAGGCACGGTCGCATATATTGAAAAATCACAGTTATATTATACACATAGCTGGGGCGCCGGAACGACGGGGCTATGGGTGCCTGTCCCCAAAATGCCCCGCTGCAATTACGTTTTTGCTGAATTTCCTTTAAAATGTTTTTCGTACACCAGCAATGAGAATGTCTGACCATCCTCTCTCGTTTCAACTCTTCACCGATTTTAACAATTGATATGTTCGGGCATTGGTTGGTTATGTATTTCATGTCGTGCTCGTCTCCGGTTAGTAACTGGAGACTTGAGTGCGGGTTCGCACAATTTGCTTCTTTTCATAAAAATCGTATGGACGAAGTGGATGTAGGCTATATAAGGTAATTATAGAGTTCATTGCTAGGTCGCCCAAAATATACTTCGGTCAAGTACACGTTGCCCTACTATGTCATAATAAGATTTTATATTTTTGAATCTATCCGATAAAATTGTATAAAAACAGGATTCGAGATTTTTGTTCGATATGAAATCTAATTGGGTTTAACGTCCTACTGTTCTGCTCCAATTCTAGGCTAATAAAGACGGGCATACGCCATGCAGTGTGCTGTGAGGGAAATTTTGCCTGGATAGCGGCACTATTGCCTGCTCTTGTATCCAATTCCAACTGCCAAGGGATATTTTACGTGCACGCCAATGTATATACGGGGCCTCGGTTTTTTGTATCATCCGAATGACTAGACAGCTGTCCTTGTCAGGCCCTCCGTCCTGCGCCACTGACAAGGGGAAACCACATCAGAAAATCCCGATGAACTTTCTTGGCCAATGCAGGGATCGAACACGCGACCTCCAGGCTAGCGAGCCAGCCAGCGTCTTACCCACTTAGCCACCGTGGCTCCATGTTACGTCGAATTGAACCGAATCCGTTATTGTATTTTGATCTGATAGGTTTTAACTAGTAGCCTGTTTCTGCACCGGATTTGGAAATATTTTCTAGGAGGAGGACCCCCCCCCCCCCGGTGCCCCCTTACCCCACAGGGCCCCTGACAAAACTAGCCTAATATATCACAGTTATCTGATCTTGGGGATGGGGGTAACCACCTAGATTCCCAAATCTCTATTTTATATAATTATTTAAAATGAATGAACTCTTACGAAAATTTAAAGAAACATTGTTTTATAGCAGTTTTATTGTTGCAAGGCCATAGTTTGAATTATGAAATAAAATATACACCTACATTTCTGCACCAAGCGGTTAATTACGCTTTGAAAGTGGGTTTCCGTCTACTCTCTCTTCAATTCCAACTATCAAAGGTTCTTTAAAGTGAACGTCAATCTGTACTTTTTGTCCCATACGAAGTTAAAGCCCCTAGTCTTACGTATACCACAGGCAGTGCCATCATAACGCATATCACGATGCGGGTATGTCTTCATTGACCTTGTTCGTATACAAAAGTAAAACATTAAACCCCATTTAAATTTCATTTAAATTTAAATGAGGGAAGAAGGGAACATTATATACAAATAGATGGTCATTTATTCGTCTCCGACGGCAAAAATGATAATTTGAAACGGAATAAAAGTAGTTGTCTCCCTTGCATAACGCTCAATTGTAAAGAAGTGAAATGATATGTGTGGTTTAACGGTCGAGAGCGAGACAGTAAGTAATGATATTTAATGGCACTCAGCGCCAACCTGACTATGTTACCCCAAACATATGGTGATGTTTGCGAGACGAACTAAATATTTTAATCACAAAAATATATTCATATGCATGAGTAAACAGAAATTTCACAGCCTATACTTTAATTAAAATAAAATATCACATGTATGCATTCATGTAAACAATATTTTAAAAAGTAAAACAGAAAAAGTTACATGCGTGTACTATTAATATTTGTAATATAAATTTGTCTAAAGAACCCAGTAATTATTTATTTACATCACATATGATAATAACATTCACGTTAACAAGTATATATCATTTAAATTCACTACCTAATATTAGGTTTCAACCATGTTATTGATATCATAATAAATAGACATGTTTCACATTATGTTCTAAATCTATAATGTAAATTTTATCTTTCATCGTAGCTCTCATCGTAAAATATATGGCACATTAAACAATTTATTTCATCTAAAAAGATTTTACCCAAATTAAGTTATTACGTTAGTGTGTACGACATGTATTGTGAGTTACTGCCCTTTGAACAGCGTGCGATTTTATTTGTTCAAGAATCACGCTTTTTAACCTCGGGATTCATCGATGGTATTCGTAACCTCATATTCGTTTTCGGAAGCCTACCCGACCAATAACTGTGCATGAGACCATAGTCAATCAGACAGGCCATATCATATCGTTTAGATTTTGTATCCCCCCTCCCCCCACTCGTTGTTAACCCTGGCGTATCCAAGATTTGAATTACATGTAACTTTATTTATTGCTAAAATAACTAAAGATACATTAGTTAAGATTGAACTTAGTTATCAGTGTTGGAATTTTGGACTAGAAATGGGCATCAACTGCCTCCGCACCGTCTCCGAGAATTGCTGATCTTTTGATTCCGCCCACATATTCTTGATTATCAAGTAACATTCTCAATGCCTAAGGTAAACTCGATTTTCAATCTATTCGTCGACAGTCTCTGGGAGTGACGTCGGTAAATGTTAGCTTGGTCAGCTATTAATTATTAAATGGACGACTGTTTAAGTCCAAGCTGTATCCAAGCCATCCAAGGGTCTACAGAGTTAATGTTGGGCTTGTTATGTAAATAAAGGTCTAATTATAATACTTTCTATAACATTTGAAGTCTGTATCTGTAACGCTGACGGTTTGATTATTCAGGTTTGCCCCCGATGTTGACCGAGTTGTTCCTCGGTGTGGTATCCGATTATGAGTTCTGCAGGAGTGGAGACTTTACAAGCAACAACACCTGGTCGTTCGAATGGGACGTTAAACTGGGGTCCAGTGTAAACGTAAAAGAAACTTGGCCGTTGGAGTTCTAAATAGAGTTGCCTGTTACGTCGCAGTCCGGGCAATATTTACCTTAAAGTTACCTAAACCCATTTGATTTCGTTCGTGCATCCCGACTTCCAATCATACTAACTAAAGGAATGGAGAATCTGTTACTCCTATGTATTAAGCCACCCGGACTCACCTGTGAGTGCATTGTATGCCCACCAATCATAGCGAAAATGGATTTTGCCTTGACAGTGGTATGACGACCTGCTCTTATTACGATTTTCAACTGTCAGGGATCTTTAACGTACTGTCAATATGTTCTGATAATGGTAACTTTCTTAGTCAACACCGGGATTGAATCCTGAACGTTCTGTTTAGTGAACTAAAGACATACTCATCGATTCAACAAACTTTTAATAACATAAATTATTTAAAGATGCATTATATAAAAATCCGATAAATAAATGGCCGTTCTGGCTATACAAGTTCAAAAAATGAATATATTAAACATTGCAATTAAATAACTCTATTCTGAGCGGAATAATAGAGCAATTTGATGTTTGGGCGTAAATTTTCTCGATTGGCAAGTACCGTTGTAACGACAATAAAGACACTCTCGATTATCAATTTCAACGATAAATGCTGCGGTTGTTTTAATTGGAATCTCGCTAGCTAAGTGGGTAAGATGCTGGCTCGCCAGCCTGGAGGTCGGGTGTTCGATCCCTGCATTGGCCGAGAAAGTTCATCCAGATTTCCCGGCGTGGTTCCCCCTTGTCAGTGATGCAGGATGGAGGGCCTGACAAGGACAGCTGTCTAGTCACTCGGATGAGACGAAAAACCGAGGTCCCGTGTACACATTGGCGTGCACGTAAAGGATCCCTTGACAGTTGGAATTCGATATAAGAGTAGGCCGTAGTGCCGCTGTCGGGGCAAAATCTACCCTCATAGCACACTGTATGGCGTATGACACTGTATGGCGTATGCCCGTCTTCATTAGCCCATTTCGGAGCAAAACAGTAGGACGTTAAACCCCATTTCATTTCATTTCATTTCATTTCGGTTGTTCTAATTCATTCAATATCTCAGTCATCCGATGGTCTAGATAGTTCATTGTGGGCTTGTCACGATAACAAATAATCTAAATAACAATTCATAACACTAAAGGCCAGATTTAGCTCGTGCATAATGTATGTTTAAAAAAAAGAAACATAGTGATTTTCGTGACTGATTTCATTATTATTACAAAGTGTATAGATTCTATTTGTAACTAAGCCAATATTGTCGTTTACGTTAGCATTCGAGTTACAGTTGTGCACACACTGCCTGGTCAATTAGTCGTATCTATTTAATTTTCTTATGTCATTTAGTTCCACATAATACCTTTATATGGCATTTGGGATGGGTGTCGTCATCGTGTCTTTATCAAAGCCACGGCGGCTCAGTCAGTAAGACATTGACTCGATAGCCCGGACGTCACGTGTTCCACCCCTATGTCGACCTAGGAACCTTATCGGATTTACCATACGTAAAAGATTCATTGACAGTTGGAATTCGATATAAGAGTGGATCGTAGCGCCCGGGCAACATTTCCTTCGCAGCACACTGTATGGAGCATGCCCGTCTTCATTAACCCAGTCGGAGCAGAACATAATAACGTTAAACCCCATTTCCCATTTCATTTCAGTTCTTAATTAGTAATAATGGATCAAGGGGGGGGGGGCTAAGTTGGACAAAAGTCTCGAAGCCCCCACGGCCCACATGTTGGATTGAGTACAATATCAAAAGTTCCAATAGATGAGTGATTCGAATTTACATTCTCTGGACCCTCATTCTGTCCACTATCGGGACCCCACTTTAACTCCAAGCAATTTTTAAACGAGTAAATTAAAAAGAATATGATAACACGGAATGAAATGAAATTTGTGTTTGACGTTCTACTGGTCTGCCCCGACTGGGCTAATGAAGACGGGCCTACGTCATAAATGTGTTGTGGTGGAAATTTAGCCGTACAGCGAGCACTACGGCCTTCTCATATTTCAAATTCCAGCCGTCAAGGCTTATTTTACGTGCACGCCAATGTATACACGGGACCTCAGCTAACACCGGGATCGAACATACGACCTCCAGGTTAGCGAGCCAACGTTTAAGCGCTGAGCCACGGCGTTAACACGCGAAACACACAACAAATTAATTATAACAAAAAAATATCAAAAATGTGTTATTGTATAAGACAATTATAAGTTCATACACTAACAGTACTAAAATATGATTTTATGATTCATTTAGGTTATTCTCCATTAATTTGATACAGGAACAAATTATTTTACTTCCTTGATCTAAAATATCTGTATTATAATCTATATGTTTAACAGATATATTTAGTATATACATGTCAACATGGCTAGTACTATACTGATATATATACTTATGTATTGTTTTATTTTTGATGTCACCAATGGTAAGTATATAAAAATTCTTATTAACAATATATAAATATATTTAACTGTGGGTAGATGATTGTTACAAGAGTAGTGTAGTGTAATGTAACATATCATTTATCATAATAGCAGTACAATAGTCTACTCGACACAACACGGCATTTCATAACTGACAAATAGTATAATCCTCTTCTCAATAAAATTCGCTTGTAACCAAACTTCACCAGTAATAGAGATCAACGATCTTATTTTCTAAAATATACAACTGTAGAATAAAACTTATATTGATGATAAACATACAATAGAATGCTTGGATCACCTAACACCTTATAATTGTTTCAGCTCTTGATGAATGTAAAGACACGTTATTTACATGTAAAGAAAACTATGAACGGTGTACAAACCCACCTAGCAATTGGATAGACTACATGGAGAAAGGGTGTATGTCAACCTGTAGATATTGTACAACAGGTAAATTATTTCTTACATTAATTTCTTGTTTCATGTGATACTCATTCATATTGAGTTATATATAATATGTCTTTAACTCGGAGGCCTGGTCCCGAGTTCACGAAACAATCTCAGACTTAAGTTAAGATCTTACTCAACATCCAATTACTGTTTATGAGAAATATCTTTAATCCAAAAACACGAAAAATTGCACACAGTTTCTTATTGATGTATTTGATACATTAAAACAACATAAGTTTTATAAAGGGCTCTATTTTAGTTAAAATAAGGCGAACAAATTAGAGTTAATTCTTAACTTGCGTCTGGGAATGTTTTGTGAATTCGGAGCCTGGTGATGGTCATTTGGGGTTGGGTACGCCGTGACAATGTGTCGTAACAATATACCTCTATTCCTGCGAAAAAAATCACCATTACCTTGAACATGCATTTAACATGCTCGGCCCATTTCGGGTCAAAATTTATAATACAATAACAGGATTTTGGAATGAATAGGGGGGATGGCACGTAGAGTGGGGAATTTGGACATTAAGCAGTATTAACGTCAGTGTTCAAACATGTCAATTACATTTTTCATAGTGACCATCATCCTCCACATCAATAAAAAAAAACTCATTGAATTTCATCCACTTTAAAAATAAAGTGGTATTATTTATTATTTTATTTTATTCATTTATTTTTTTGAGCATGAAGAATATTTTTATAGCAAAAGCGGCGCATAAGTCATTGTGGTGGTGGAGCATGAGTTTCGCTAATTACATAGTCATTATCACCACGTCCCTGCTTTAACTAATATTATTATATTGTTTGTCCTTAATAGTTAGTTTCTGATATCAAAAGTCAAATGATATTATAATGATGATAATGACTATATTTTCTGAGGGAACATATTTAGTACATGTATTTTAATTTTCAACGTGTCACTCTTACTCTATAAAACTAGCAACTACATGTAGTAACAATATTTACACATATTTACAAAGTCCATATACATCATAAATAAGCTTATCGAGGGAAAAAATTAAACAAATGAGAAAGAAAAATGGCAAATAAACATACATTCAGAGGACAACAGTAGTTAATAAGGATTAAGAGATTTCACATGGTTTACTAATTCCCTTTTGAAAATAAAACATGAAGATACATGTTCCACAGTTTGAGGTGGTGAATTCCAGAATAAAGAAGTAGTATAGAATGTTATTGTCATTGGCCTTTTTGTTACGTTTTGGAATTGCTAATTTAAGTTGACTTTTTCATAGAATATGTTGATGGTAATTAATCTCTTAGAATTTTGAAATTGAGCATTTCCTGATTGTATTAAATTCGTTGGTAGAATGTGAACTAATTAAGAGATTCAAATAAAAGCACCCAATGTGAATCAGGTTTTACATCCAAATTGCTTCTTGTTGCACGTTTTGAAAGTTTCTACAAGACCTCAAGTTTACCTTTATTGGCATTACCCCAAACTGTGGAACGTGATCAAAACATGGTATAATATAGCCGTTGAAAAATAAAATTCTAATATAAATAAGGGTTTAGCGATTTATTATTTGTATCGGGTACAGGGTATGTTTAGTCTTTCTAGACACCGTCGTTCTACTTTACTATTTTTGGTATTGATTATTGTGATATACTCTCATTTAGTAAGTACATTTACTATAAATTATCTCGATTTGGCCATTCTGTTAATGGATTTTTGTACGGAATCGCCCTTAGATATAAAATCTATTTTATACGCACTTTATAAACAAATAGCTTATTGAAGTCGGATTTAAAACAATTGTTAACAAAACTATGTTGTACGTTTGTATTTTAATCAGTTGGTACATGTTTGTCTAATTGCTATCACACTCATCATCAGTGAATATTCGCTAGATCCCTAATATCACTGAGAGGGATGACATTGATGCGAGTTAATGAGCTCGTAATATTAACTTTTTTCCTTCTGCAAATTAAATTCTAAAACATTTTTTGTAGTATTAGAAAAATAAATAAATGTGTTTGAAGTATATCTGGAAAAAGATTTTTTCCTATTTAGTTATAAATGAGTATATAAATAAAATGATTAAAAGACACCATTCTACACGGAACAGTCCATGTTGTGTAAACATTGAACGAGCTTTCGAGCCAATGACCGGGGCCGCGTGACGTGACGTCACATGTAGAATCAACTTGAACTTATAAAAAGGTCAGAGGTATTGCGATTACAATAACTCTGTGAAACAGATTGAATTGGTATAGGTACAGCTATGAGCTTTAACGTGTCATCAACGCTTATCACATTTTTGTTATGACCGCGACATCTCCCGATAATCTTCCTGAAAGTGGTTTGTCTTCTGTCAAGCTATATTTTACACACAAATACAATAGGTACTCAACAACCAAAATAATATAGCTCATTGACAATAACACAGAGGTAACACCAGACATGTTAGAGAATGTGCTAATCCCATGACATCTGTCAGATCACCTGGACTGTAAATATGATTAGAAATTCACCGAAGATCACCTCCACCGCCTTAGAAATTCCACCATTAATTAATTACTCAGCAATTAAGATTATACAAACTATACATCCCAAATTTAATTATAGACAATGTTGTCCAGGATAAACACATACAGCCAACGACGAAGTACATGATTCTTATCATGTAGTACATGTAGACTGTTAGAGAAACTTGGTTTTTAATAAGAAATTTGATAGCTCAGTGTTCTGTTGTGTTCTGATTTCAGGACGGAAGTATTTGTAAAACAAAATATATAATGGAGAAAGCGGTCTACACTTACTTAATAATTTGGGGAAATCCATGTAATAATAACTAAAAAACATTTGTACTTTTTCAGGCTAAAACACCCCATTGAATATAATGTTGTCCGATTTGATTGATTTAAGCTGAAATTAATATTTCAGAAAATGTAGCTTTAGGCAAGACTACCAAACAGAGTTCATATTTAGACCAGACTGGATATAATTCATCTAATGCTGTAGATGGTGAACTTCAGGATAAATATGGATCTTGCTCAGTTACAAATAATGACATCAAATCATGGTGGTGTGTTAATTTACAGAAGCCATACAAAATCAACGAAATTAATGTTTATGGTGAAAATAGAAATAAAGGCAGTAAGTGTATAGTAATTTTATATAAGGATAATTTAATCATATGTTGTCAATCTCCTATGTACTGTATAAAAGACGTTTAAATTATTATACTGTATTATACCAATAAGATGTCTATCAATGTACACCGTACGGAGGATATCACTAAACTCATAATAGTTTAGAGGTGTAAATTCTCACTTGGGATATAACACACTTAAAATGATTCTTCAATTCTTCAATATACCGGAACATAAATATACATATATCGTCATACAGTACTGACAGGCCGGTTACTGCACTTAGTAAGGGATCCTAACTAGTGACTGCCATCAATGTACAAATTTTGTTATATTTAAGAAAAATCAGATAATAGGATAAAAGCAAATGTAATTAAAACTGACATGTCGATTGTTGAACAATCCATAAACTGTTAAACAATATGATAAATCAACAAAAACAATAGATGGGATAAACGTCGTTACCCAATGACGGCTTGAAAAGTGATGACTGGTTAACGACTTGCATGCCAGTTGATCTTAAAGTGGTTAATTTAAGAAACATTAATTATATTAGCGATTGGCAGATTATCACACCATTATAAAAGTTAAAGAACAATATTGTTGTCAGTCATTATCACATATGTGATAGAACTGGTTAAACACTTTTCAAATATAATTTTAACACACAGATCATTGCTACGATAGATGTGTAACAAAGATTTGAACACACGGAAGTGACGCAAAAAATGGAAAACACGAGTTATCCTTATATATAACTGACTGAGGTGAATTTCTGCTCACTGATAATTACTTCGAAGACCAAAAGTTGTTATATGAGACTGTGAGAGGAAATCTGACAAGTTATAAAAAGTACTGAATGTCACCGTGGAAGATTAAAATAGACGAAAATGGGTCTACAAGCACACATTAATATAATATGAATATTATAGTGATTCATATTCAATTTTTAAATTTTTATTGTAATTCTAATCAATCATGTTCGGTGAAATACGTGAACAGTCCAAATTGAAAGGGAATCGTTTACACCTGCTTAGTTCATGCTGCACATTTTTTATTATTATTATGTCGTTTGTGAATCAGCCATTGCTAATTACTTCTACATTGTCTTGTAGGATATATTTTTCTTTGTACATTACAAAACGGCACACAAAACCATAGAAATACACTACTCGTGTACGGATTTTAAAATCTTCATTATGTCTTAAATATTAGGATTGAAATGGGCCAATATTGAATTTTAATTCGTGTTTGTTATTTTGAATTTTATGGAAAATATTAAGTTAAAAGAAATAGGCACCGCAAGATAAGTAAATATAATAAAAATAGTTGAATCAGTGTTTTTAAAAGCTATTTTAATATGTTCCCGGTCAACTAACGCATGTCATTTGTAAACTTAGTAAACTGAAAGTATCTCCTGCAAAAGATTTAACCTCATTTCTGTGTATAGATTTGATGAAAGTGTTTAATCAAATCTACAGAATATGCTAGTAAGCTAACCATTATATCTATATCTAAACTGTTGGTATTTCTGATATTTGCCCCACTTACTGATCTGCATACATTTTAAATATTCCATTCACACACTACATTTACATGCTTCTATTTGTTCATTATAGCTAAAGATAACCTGTCTAATTTTACTGTGATTCTCAGTAATACTGGTAGTTGTGATGAATCAACTCTTAGATCATCACCAGTTTGTTATAAAGATCCTGGTAGTGATAGAAATCTGTATAGAATAGATAGATGTAATCAACAACCAGATGTAGAGTTGACAGGACAGATTGTATTTATAACAACAGGCATGGAATCTACATCGCTAGGATTATGTGAAGTAGAGATATATTCAGGTGATAAATATTTTGTTGTTTATATTGATGAGTGGGATGAATATTTTATTTGTCTGTTTCAATATATATAAACGATAATGAATATTTGCCCATCAGTTGGTATTCGAACTCGGAACACCCTAGTCGAGAATACAACTCAACGCCCATGTTAAAAATATACAAATGTGCAAAAATAAGATTCGCAATCTATATATTCAGGAGATTATCTAATATTCATTGCGTACAAAATACCTATAGATCTTCATTATCAATTTTGTTGGTAAACGAATTAAATTGTTAAACATTTAAGACTAAACACCAAATCTATTGTCTTGTACATAAATAACATGTATTTAAACAGAACGTGCCATATTTCTAAATTGTTTATATCGGTTACGACATGTCACTTTTATATTTATTAAACATCAATATGATATTAACGTTGACTTTTAATTCTCAGCTCAATGTTCAGATGGATATTATGAAAAATCTAGTGAAAGATGTTCACCTTGTAACTGTGGAGTGAAACCATGCAACCCTGATACAGGACGTTGTTTAGAGAAATGCCGTATAAATTGTAAGAATGATAAATGTGATGTTAATGGTAGATGTACAGATGGCTGTAATGTGGGATTCTATGGTATTGGATGTACGGATGAATGTAATCGAAACTGTAAAGACAATGTTTGTGAAAGGAAGAATGGTGTCTGTATCAATGGATGTAAGGACGGGTTCTATGGTAAGAATGGAAAGTGTAGGCGAAAATGTCCAAACTGTAATCCCGGTGGCTGTAGAAAGGAAAATGGAATTTGTATTAACGGGTGTAAACATGGATTCTATGGTAAGAAATGTAGATGGGGGTGTTCAACATGTAAACCTGGTGGGTGTGATAAGCAGGGTGTTTGTGCCAATGGATGTCTAGATGGTTTTTATGGAAGTGGTGGACTGTGTCTTAGAAAATGTCCAAATTGTCTACCAGGAGGATGTGATAAAGATGATGGTGTTTGTATCAGTGAATGTATAGAGGGTTGGTATACAGATACATGTAATACAAGTTGTAGTAGTTATTGTCAAGGTGGATGTAATAGATCAAATGGTATATGTAAAACATGTTCTCCAGGTAGATATGGTGATTATTGCCAACAAGAATGTAGTATTGGTTGTGTTTATAACATATGTTCTACAGATGGGTCGTGTAGTTGTAAAGCCACTCATTATGGTGATAATTGTAACAGGACATGTAGTGATCGATGTTCCAACAGCGAGTGTTCTCCTTATGGTGGATTTTGTTTATGTAAGGATACCTATTACGGTGAGAAATGTGAACATGAATGCAGTAACAAATGTATCAATAAACAATGTAGAGAATTATCAGAACCAGATAAACAACGGTGTACAGTTGGATGTATTGATGGTTATAAAGGTTCTTACTGTCAAACAACATGCCCAGTTAACTGTGTAACATGTAACACTACTGGCTGTTCTGTTTGCAATCTTGGATGGTACGGATCTAATTGTCAAAAGCGATGCTCCGAGAATTGTCGCAATCAATGTGATTCGATATCTGGCGAGTGCAAACAATGTGCAGGCAACAACACATTTGGCAGGTTTTGTAATTCAACTTGCAGTAATGGATGCAGAAATCAAGGTACAGATAAAACATGTAACAGAACTGGTGATTGTTTATTTGGCTGCGTTGATGGTAATTATGGTAACACCTGTAAGTTGAATTGTGCTAAATATTGTAGTGGGGGCTGTAGTAAACAAAATGGTCGGTGTAATGATTGCGTCCGAGGATTTTATGGTAATTACTGTAACAATTCCTGCAGCAAGACTTGTGAAGGGGGTTGTAATAGAGATGGTAAATGTTTAAGATGCTCAAAAGGTTTTTATGGTGACTACTGTGACATGAGGTGTAGCAATAATTGCATAGATTCAGTTTGTGAAGGACCAACTAACAATCTAAAGTGTTCTAAAGGATGTGTTGAAGGGAAGATGGGGCGATATTGTGAAAAGAATTGTCTTCAGCATTGTATTAACTGTGACCAATTCATCAGATATCAATGTTCAACATGTGAAGATGGTTGGAGAGGAAATTATTGTTCAGAGCGTTGTCCAGAACATTGTATCAAATGTATTCAAACCAGACAATGCGTAAATGAGGATTGTGCCATGAATGGTACCTGTAACGCATGTAAAAGGGGATTTTTTAGTTCTAGATGTGACCACAAGTGTAGCACAAACTGTAACTCTACTACAGGTTTACCTGTATGTGATTTTAAAGATGGTTCCTGCAGAGATGGCTGCGTCACTGGGAAAAGAGGACAAAACTGTTCGGAAGGTGAGTTCAGCCGCACTTCCTCTCAAAAATATTCATTAATAAATATGTTTTTCTGAATTAATACGATATATGTAAATTCGTGATTTCTGAAGAAAAAAATGTTTATTAGGCCATGTCTAATTACGTAAGTAAATATGAGAAATTCTAAACAGAGTAAAAATATCGAAGTGTCTATAATTACTTGCAAGTACGTAGTTTGTTTTGTAACATACTGTTGGCCGTTATATTCTTTGATATTTCAGACTGTACAGATGGTTGGTATGGTATAAATTGTGTTAATAAATGTGGTTCTTGTAAAAATGGAATCGGTTGTAATGTTTCGACTGGAGAATGTGGATTACAGGGATGCCATGAACTATATACAGGACCTACTTGTCATGATGGTAATTATTATTCAAAACCGTACAGCACACTGGAAAAATAGTTTTCCCATAAACATTCAATTTTCGATAATCTTAAAGAACTTAATCAAATGTTCTTGTGGTCAGGCTATTGTTTCGTGCCAGGAATCTGTGTTTCTGTATCAACCAGGCTATTGTGTCGTGCCGGGAATCTATGTTTCTGTATCAACTGATAATAATTGATGTAATTATGCCTCATCTAATTATTTTCAGTAAAATCTACTACATCAAATGTAACAGTGGCTGTTGCAGTTATTGTGACGGTGTTATTGGTCCTTGCTGTAGCTGTTGGTCTTCTATATGTTTGGAGGTAAATAGAGACCTATTTATTTAAATACCTGTCTGGATAATCATAGCGAACATTTTGTATCAATGGTTTTAATTGTTT